CAGAGAGACACAGACACAGACAGAGACTCTGTCAGCCTGTATGTCTGTCTGTCTCCCTGTCTCTGTCTTTCTGTCTCTGTCTTTCTCTGTCTCATTCTCTGTCACTCTCACTCACTCTCTCTCACTCTCTCTCTCTCTCTCTCTCTCTCTCTCTCTCTCTCTCTCTCTCTCTCTCTCAAACAACTTCACCAGTATTGCTGTAGTGAAGGCTGTGGATATAGAGTCCATGCAAGTCTCCATGGATTGTACATCTACATGACTGAGAACATCTTTCAGGCCCTCGACGGTAGAGTGTGGGTCCTATTCCACTGTCTGCTGCTGTCTGACATGATCGATTGCTGTGTTGTGTGCTTGATATTTCCACTTTTCCAGTGTGCTAAAGACTAGTGAGATTGACGCCTCGTTATTTAATGGGGGAGCTGGACAGGGCGGCATGGATTAGCTCATTTCTACACAGGCAATGTGAGTGCTTCGGTGGAGAAAACACTCAGCGAGTGAGAGAACGCTTCTGACTGCTCTGAGATAAGAAATGGTACTGGGGCAGCTGAGGGGACCATCCCAACGGAGGGCAAGAAGGAATGTTACACACGTCAGCGCCATAGTGACCAAAGCTGCGAGGAAGATTGGCGCCTTGTGGCGAGCCCGTCGATGCCTCTCCCGCAGCTCGCGCAAGATATATGTTAAGGCTATTGTCATGCCGGATATGATACATGGTGCCTGCTGCTTCTCTGCAGCCCTCCGCGTGACCCAACTTCAGCGTCTGCAAGCCATGCAAAACCGGGCGATCCGATGCATTGATGGCAGCCCGCCATGTTCCGCGATGCTGCCCCTCCTGGCTGCCAACTTGATTTACCGCGTCACTGAACTTTTTAAACAAAAGCTCCTGATCTTCATCTGGCGGTGTCTAAATGACTCCACTAGCCTTGCTCTAGCCCAGCTTCCCAAACCAGCAGCATGCAGCGGCAGAAGTACGCGCCATCAGCATGCCAATGGTCTGCTCAGCCAGCCAGCTCGCAGTCGGTGTGGCCAAACGAGATTCGCCACCGCAGGAGCATGTGGAACAGTTTGCCTAGAGAGGTGCGCACCGTATCCAGATTGCAAGATTTTAAGCTAGCCTGCCTTCCTTATGTATGCCTGAAATACGTGTTTCGTCCGGTTTTGACATGTTCCTTTTCTTCTCAGTATTCTCGCTCGCATAGTACTCCACTTCTATCATAATATTGCCTATTCTGTTGCTCATTAGGAATTTGGCAAATTCCATCCTTCGCTTTCATATAACTGGGCCAGGAACCCGTTTGAACTTGCGAAGTAAAGTGGGTGGGGAACAGAAATTTACCCTTTTACCACTGCAGGGTACTACCACCTGTCCACTAACAACCAGCGGAAATGGGTCATATTTACTGAAACACACCACACCTAAAAAGTTCATAACTCTGGCATCCATGCTCCAATTTACTGGATCTAGAGCTTCCTGGAAAGCTGCTGCGACGACCAAAGCGCTGAACTAAAGCACAAGTCTCCACAAGGTCTTAGACCGGTACTGGTGCAGCTGAGGGGACCACCCCAACGGAGGGCAAGAACGAATGTGACACACAGAGGATGGGGAACAGAAATTAAGAAGTCAATCCTGCAACACATGTAGGGTAATCAATACTACTAGTAGTCATGCAGTATAATCATGCAGTATAATCATGCAGTATAGTCATGCAGTATTGTATAGTCATGCAGTATTGTCATGCAGTATAATCATGCAGTATGGTCATGCAGTATAGTCTGTATAGTTACGTAGACACGTACTACGTACTAGTGCTGTGTGCTGTGTATGTCCTATGTCCTATGTCCTATGTTGGGGTAACCGATTATAACGACGAGTTACGTTACTGACCTCCTCTCGGTGATGGTAACACCGGAAAAGCGTGTCATGCCGATCGGAGCAGGAATATTTGATGCTCCTGTGGAAGTCTGTACGTTGGGAATGCGTGGACGGAAGCTCGAAAATCCAAGTCCTACCATAGCTTGTGCCAGGATCACCAGTGCGGTTATGCCCACCGTAGCTAGCCGTGTTGATGGCATGATCCAGTCTGTCCGCAACGCTTGTAAATACTACAGATATCTGAGGCAGGTATGTAGCCTGTGATGTATTCTTGAGGTGTAGACTACTGACTAGTCTCAAACACACACAGCAACTCGCACAGCAACACAGTGTCTCTACTAGCCGTACTAATTTAGTCGCAGTGGTCTTTCTTGGCACGCGGCAATGCCTTGTGAAACTATGGCCTGGGACAGATAAGTTGAATGTCAAACTTGACAGGAAAGACGCACGAGGAAGGTCGCTGGCTGGGTCCTTCCTTCTCAATGTCGGTTAGAGGTAATGGCAAACTTCCTTCTCAATGTCGGTTAGAGGTAATGGCGAAGTAAACACCACTGCTGTACTAGCGGAAAGCGGTTCCAGGATAGCAGAGGGTCAGCTGTTGACCTTACGAGTTAGTACGTAGATGTACATCAACGATGCCTGTACACCATGGTACACGAACGAACTGTGCAGCGTGCTCTGCACGGTCTAGTCATGATCACAGCACCCATACCGGGACATAGTGCAGTGGCCGTCCGTGAAATTTCGTACAATTTCACATGCACACACACGCACACATGTGTGCACACATACACACATGTGTGCACACACACATACACACACTGTGACACAGCGGTATGGCTGGCTTCCGAGCACATTACCGGTACGCGGTATCCAGGTTGGAACCGGAACTTTGCGGAGAACACTCGCCGACTCGCTGGCAAAGCTGCAAGGTGGAATAGTTCTCTTTTCTTCGTACTTTACTGTTTCGGAGCCGGATGCATGGAGAATTGATCGCATAGGTCAAGAAGAATGGTGTCTCAGCGTTCCTGCTGAGTGCCACTGCTGATTCATGCTCTGGGAAAACACTAAGGTGATACTGTACCCGTACCATGGCATGCATAGCAGTGCAGTGCATGCTGCATTTTGTGCAAGTGGCCCACTTTGCACTTAGGTAGGTATGCTTTTCACAAACACAATTACGAACTACATTTGCCTTTCCCTTGGATTGGAGCACGTTGTGTGAGCATGCACAGCTAGTAATACTTGCTTGACACATTAACAGCCTTTACAGCTAATACAGTAGTAATACAGTAGTACTACTAGTACACTGTCTGTAGCAGCTAGCAATACTCAGTGTCACTACTGCACTAGCTAAGCATGAGGTCGTCATGAATAGCTAGTAG